AAAAAAAAGGATATTTGAACTCCATGAAATTTCCCATAGAGCAAAAAATACCTCTTTTCTTCAGCCCAAGAGCCTGTAATAAATTAAAATAGGAAAACAAATAAATAAATAAACTACTGCAATTGATTTTTTAGTAGAAAAATACACCCAGAACCTTACAAATTATACAGAACTGAAAGTTACTTTATCATTTCACATTGCTTTGCTAGAAAGCTCTGGTAATAGACTCTGGAAAAGGTTCCAAAATCAGTCTTTTTTCTATATCTTTAAACAAGGACAATTTAACTCGATATGAACAATATGGTTCTTGTATACAACCTTTCCTCTGTTTTACAAGATACCACACATTTCTTCATTGCATGTTTCTGGGATGACTGACTTGGTGCATGTCATCCAGTGCATACAGATCCAGGGAAAATTACATGTGTTGCCAAGGAGCACAACAGGGACAACATGGACCTGCTGACAGAGCTAAGAAGCCACACACTATATCCTGCAGAAGACAGACACTACCATGGTTTTGTTAGAAAGATTGGCCTGTTATCCAAATTTTTTCTAAGAAATTCACTAAGGCAAAGGAAAGAAAATATAGGAAAACACATTGGTTGATGGACTTCAAGTACAGTGAGCAGAATGTGAATGTGGGATGTATTTGCCAGCAAAACTAGAATTCATTTCTGTCAACATCTTGTCCCTCAAAACAAAACTTAGCACAAAGAATCACTGAATATTTTAATGGCATATTTATGGAAATTGTATAGAAACTAAATTTTGATATAATCATGGAGAAGCATTATTAAATAATTGGACGCTGTAGGATATGCCTGTGGCTTCCATTGTAATGTCTCTTATGACTTGGTAATAAGCAACCCTTTGATCACTGAGATTTTTTAAAATAATAATAATAATAATAGTAATAATAATAATAAATAAACACTAACAATTTCCCTTCATTTCAGTGCTAAACTCTTGCAAAGCAAACACATTGCTCTGCACTTTGAAAAAAAATATTCTTTCATATTGCGTGTCATATTTTGTTCTCATATTTCTCCTCAGGGAATGAAATAAGGGAGGTGAGGGATTGCCTGGAATGTAAAGTATTTTCACTCTTCTTTTTACCCTTTATTAATTCTTTAAAATGCAAAGTATTGTTATTTTTGGAAAAGGTGGAAAGCAGAAAAAGCATATTAACCATAGTAATTTTGCACTCTTTAACATCTTTGCTTGATGAGGCTTTGTAGTATCACAAGCTGGCAAGCAGAAAAAATTGTATTTCATTTTCCTTGAGGGTAAAAATCTGGAAGAAAAAGAGGAATGAAGTTTTGCATCAAAAATCTGTAAAATAACGAAATCTATTGAAGAATTCTTATTTGACGCTCAGTACTAGAAACAGTAGCCCAATTTCAGAATTTGCTTCAAAGATGTAGGTTTGGTTTGGTTTATTTTTCCGTATTTAGAAGGAGGGGATCATTCTTAGAACTATTTTATTAGTCTCACTGGTAGCCAGGACCACCTGTTCTGGGAGCTGCTGGAGTTGCTTTGGAGCGTGGGAAACAGTCCAGAGCTGGCTCACCATGCACAGCGACTAACAGCATCCATAAGTGCTTTCTTGGATCACTGCCCATAAGTACACTAATTGTTTCTAAATAGATCCAAGAAATGAACTGTTGCTAGTTGGAATCACTTTCTTGGTGAAAGAACATGTTTCTTTTTCATCATCTATGCATTTGTGTGCTTTGGAGATTTGACAACAGAAAAGAACATATTTGGATGAGGAGTTTAGTGCTGGGCCATCTCCATACAGTTAATCATACAATATAATCATGGAATAAAATGGTTTGGATTGGAAAGGAAAGACCATAAAGTCGTTTTAGTCCCCCTGCCATGGGCAGGGACATTTTCCACTAGACCAAAGTCCCATCCAACCTGGCTTGAACACTTCCAGGGACGGAGCATTCATAGCTAATCTGGGCAACTTGTTACCATGCTTACCACCCTCAATTTCTTCCTCTGAACCTGACCTCTTTCCACTTAAAGCCATTCCCCTTTGCCCTATCACTATGTGTGTGCTCTTTTGAAAACTTCGGCATAGATTCATAAAGTTGATATACTCCAAACACTGCCATCCCCATTAAATTCATCTGGGCCACCTTTCCATGTCATGACCTTGTGTCAGGAAAGGTTCTTGACTGAAGACAGTTCTCATGGATGAGTAATAAGGGCAAGAACATGTGTTAGAGTTCCAGCAAGAGCAATATGCAAGAACTCTTGAGTGCACAATGTGTTTAAGGCTACCTAAATCATAGCTGTTGCAGAGATAGATTTAAAATATTTTTTACTTTTTTTTTGTTTTTGGTTGTTGAGTGAGAGACTACCTTTTAGCTTGTGTAATCAACCTTCCTTTAAAATCACTGCTAGGGTTATTTATATGCTTCAAGTCTGACATGCCAAAAGTACAGAATCTTGTGGTACTATAAAATGACCTTGGTAGGTTGAATTTGTCCTTATATAGCCAAGTGAGGCAATTAATATCTCAGGTGAATGTGTTCTCCAGCTGCAGGAAGTATATTAAAATTCTCACAGCAGCTAAATCCCTCACAACTCCATTGACAATTGCCAGCAGCTTCTAGGAAGAGCTAAGCAGCCTCATTATAAATCATCAGGTGAACGGAATGAGGTTCAGTGTTTAAAGAAAATCAGAACAATAATTTCATAAAATTGAAGCACAAAGCCCAGTGGAGACTAAGAATTGAGAAGTAAGTTATTAGATTTTTAAGCAATCATATGCAATAAAGCAGCTGAAATAGTGTTTTATGATAAATAATATTGCCAATGCAAATCTGATTCATCCTAATGGCTACTATAATTAACTGCATGGTGTGTAAGGTGCTAATTTTGTGGATGAATAATTGGTTAAAACAAGTTTTATGCATTGCAGTGTAATATGCTTGTTCAATTTTCCACTTAATTTCAATTAATATAGGTTTTACATGTACTTCACTGATGCAGTTTTTATGCCTATTATTTTTAATTAGGGAAAAGAAATACCTTGGTAGAACAGAACAAATGAGCAGCACTGTGTGTTTTTTCCATGTTTTTGTTTTTTTTTTTTTTTTTTTATTAATATGCTTCAACTTCGTATTGCTGAGCCTTCCAAAATGTTAATAATCGCTGCTCCTGAGGTTGACTGGAAATGGTGGTGCCAGTTTCCACATAAAACAGAGGGGGAAAAGGAATCTTTCTGTTCTCTCATTTATTTTCTGACCTCTACACAGTGTTTTTCAGTTCAAACCATATGTTTTGTTACCCTTCCTGGTGTTTCCAGTGTTGCAATAGATTTTAGTGGTTAGAACTGGGGGGTGATTTTCTTGTTCACCACTGAAAAGGTGTGCTTGTATGCAGTCATGTCTGCTTTATGACAGAATTGATCACCAGCTTGAGATTCTTACCCTTTTCCAATAAAGGTGCCTACCCATCAGAATGGGTTCTTGTCTTCTGGATGGATATTGTTCAACTAGATGAGTGCCACTCTGAGAGTCATATATTGGTCTTCATTTCTTTGTCTCAGTCTTCTCATGGCATAAAATACTTCTCAGATTGTGCTGCCTCTGCAGCTCAGATGGGCAAGTGTGAGCACCATCCCTGCCCCTCCTCAGTGCTTCTGTGGCAGGCAGACTCTCATGGAATAGGCAGGTTATTTGCATTCCCTTTACTCTGGGCTGCCCACACAAGGGACTCCCTAGCTCCTAGGGTCGCTGCTTGGTAGATAGAAGCAGAACAAAAGTTCTAATAGAGCTTTTTATTTGTCCTGCCTACAGAGATAAACCTTTCTATGTGTCACATAAATATCCAGCACCATCGATGCAGTTGTTATATCTCTGACTCTTCTCACTTCCCCAGTATTAAAGATCTTGTGGCCAGAGTGCAGCAAGAAAGAAAATCTCTAACCAACACTTCCTTAGTTTGTGTGGTGCTGTCAATAGAGAAAATCTGTGTTAGTAATAACAGTGTGCTATAAAACTTAAAGGTATTCAAGGTGCTGCTGAATGATTTTTTTTCTGTGCATTTTACAGAAGCAGAATTAGAGAATAGTAGAACAAACATCACTCTTTGAAAGCCAAAAATATTAACATTCACCAGTTCTGACTAAACAGAGTAATTGCCTAACCCACACTGTCAAACCCTTCACAGATTTTAATGTATTTGCCTGTATTGCATTGCTATCCTCACTTCATAAAGAGAGAGGAAAGATATAGGAGAGTCATTGGGGGTAACTTTTGGTACAGTAAAGGAGTGGTGCCTAGGTCAGTCTGTTTGCACAGGATTGGCTCCATGTCTCTGAAATAAAAGTGTTTTCATAGAATTATAGAATGGCTTGGATTGGAAGAAACCTTAAAGATCATGTAGTTCTAATTCCTCTGCCATGAGCAAGAACACCTTCCACCAAACCAGACTGCTCAGAGCCCCCACCCAACCTGGCCTTCAGCACTGCCACAGATGGGGCATTGACAACTTCCCTGGGCAACAGAGTTCACTGATTTTCCAGAAGTGGAACTTTTTTTATAAGGTTTCTAGAGAACAAACCTCTTATTATCATTTACACTTCAACCAATATTTCTGAAGGTTTGAAGAGATTTCTGCAGGTTGAGAGAAGTTTCTGGGTTCCCTAAAATATTATGTTATAATGCCCATGGTGCATGCTTTAAAAATACACATGAAAGAGCAGTACTCTAAAACTAACATACGTGAAGTGAGCTGATGAGCTGCAGAGAGAAGTACATCATCTGGATAATACAATATTTAAAGAAAACCTCTACTTTCATTTCTTTGTTTTTATTCTAACATGGTCAGTGTGTGTACCAATAGAAACATCTTTTATGAGTTGCTTAAGACATTTAAAATACTTTTTCCACTGTTAGTAATTAAGCAACCAGCAGATGTCTGAAGGTCTGGCTGTATCCCAGCCCTACTCACTAAACCCTCTGCTTGTTCCCTGACAGGCCAGATGACTCTGAGGACGCAGCATGTGCAGGACTCCAAGATGGGCTTTGTAATCAATGCAATATACTCTATGGCCTATGGGCTCCACAACATGCAGCTGTCCTTGTGCCCAGGCTACGTGGGCCTCTGTGATGCCATGAAGCCCATAGATGGTCGGAAACTCCTGGAATCCCTCATGAAGACTAACTTTACCGGGGTCTCTGGGGACATGATCTTGTTTGATGAGAATGGTGATTCACCAGGAAGGTAACGTTGACATTTGTCAAACTGTTTAATAGCACAGATGCCAACAGTACACAGTAGGTATGTGCAGACTTGACAACAGAGCTAAGGTCTCATACTCCTAGTTTTACATTTCCTGATTCCTGTACTTATTTTGCAAAAATAGATTTTTTTTTAATGTGCATTTTTTTATGGCATTTCAAGTTAGAGATGTGGACTTTCAGGTGTAACAGCGTCCTGCATTAATTTACATTTTCATCTGTACCATTTAAAAGTATTAATATTGAAAACAAATTATCAGATCCCTATGTTTGTACACCATGATGTCCACCACAGCTTATTTCTCTCTTTATGTGGGTGTTTAAGTGTATGTGTTTGGTTGACCTAAAAACAATCATAGCGACTTAGCTCTTTTATTAAGAAAGCTACAACAATATCAGAAATATTGTACTGATGCATCTGAGATTTTTTAAATCAGAATAATTAAAAGCCTGCTTATATATATTCCAAAGGAAATATTTCCACTTGCATAACACAGTAAGTTACCAATCCATACTGCGCTGCTCTAAGAAAAATTGAATTTAAACAAAGCTTATTTTGCTGGTAGCATGCATACATATGTATACATACATCTATGAAATGTGAGACAAGTTTTTCTATGACACATGTATCCATAGAAATGCACATTGGAAACAGTCTTGAGGTGGGGATTTTTCTGGTTTCTGCCTACTGAATTTTCAGAGGAAGAACAGCAAGTATGATAGCATTCAAAGTCTATTTATTCCCTATGTTTTGATGTATTTTCTGTCTCATTCACTGCTTTTGCTCCAGTATTGTTTGAGATAACCCGTTATGTCCACATTATTGGAAGGTTTTAAACATCTTTGTTATGGTGCCATACAAACAGATGATTAGAGGGAAAATTTAAATTAATAAAAATATTCATTTAAATTTTGTCTCCTCCCACTAATGTGAACAGAAAGGAAATAATTAACTTCCTAGTAGAAATGGTTTGGAAATTTTAAACTCATTGGTCAAAATATTTTGACATTTCCAAAAATTTCTGCTATTTCAAACCTGATTTTTTCTTCATTCTATTTGCAAACCTGTAAATTCAGCATTCTCCCCAAAAACAAACAGTACAGCCCCCTACACAGCAGTCTGTGTCTGTTTCTGGAGACACAAATTTTCAAATTCTTCAGACTCAGACTCTAAGGAAGGGCACTGTGAGCCAATTGGAGAACTCAGGCACAAACTGGCAGAAGCCTAGGAAAATTTCAGATGGAATTTTGTTTTCAGACCTTTTTGAGCATGAGCAAGGCTGTCTTCTGCAAAACGTTTCTTTTTTACAAATAGCTGAATTTTGAAGAAAGGTGTTAAATCTGATTTTTTCTGGCCAAATTATTTATAAAAGACATCTCAGACTTCTTTAAAAGGATTTCTTTTTTGTTTTAAAGGTGCTCAGATGCAGTGGATTTTATCCTACCCCCATTCCAATCGGTCTTTTGTATAAAAATGACTGCATTAGTGAGCGATGTGTGACCTGCCAAAAACAAATATGTGACTTGACAGCATCAATAACAATATCTAAATATTGCAAAGAAATCTTTTGCTTTCCTTCTCCTCATGTTGTCATTCTTAACAAGAATAATTTAACACCATTTGTTGTAAGGAATTTAATTGAATATCTTGGATATTTTTAAATTCTAAGAAAGATGATGAAGAAATTAGATCATGTGAAGTCATTTGCTCAGTCACAATTGGACATAAGTAATTCCCTGAAGAGCATGGGGACACCATGTGGAATGTGTCCCTCAGGATAGCTCAACTTTAAGAAGGTCCAGCTTCCCTGGATTTGTGTGATATTTCTGTCTACTCAAACCAATAAGTTGTGTGTGGTTGTAAGGTGGTACCAGAATTTGTTTTCTTTTGAATCATAGTTATTTATCCCCTCTTGTACAGCAATAGTCACAGCATTAAATCCAGTACATGTGCTTAAGTCAGAAAACATTGAGTCAAAGTGTACTCTTTCATGATTAAGAGGATTTTATAGGAAGCTCCATTTTTAACTTCCAGGTTTTGAGTAGTGAATAGTCTTTTAAGCACTGTCAAATACTATTTGCAAGATCTTGAAGATGGTGCAGTCATACTGGAACAACCCATATGCCCTGTTCCCTTGCATTGATAACTCTATCTTCACTTGGGAGGAATTTAAAACAGGAATCTAAATCCTCACAGCTGTACTGTGGTGGTGGTGCTAAGCAGGAAATCAGAACATAAAAAGCCTTTCTGACCTAGATAGCTCAGGATTTTAATGTATAGAAAAAAAAATATAATTTTTGATATTATACAACAGATGATTAATCCTACAAGATGCTTTGAATCCTGACCCTATTTCAAAGTGCTTTATGTGTACGTTGAGTTTTAACCAGGCAGACAGTCTAGTGTCGGGCCTGTTTTATGTGAGTCAGAAGACATGGGAAAAAAAAAATAGTATGGAAACCATGATTCCTCAGGAAGATAACAATGATCTGTAAATATTATCAAAACTCTAAAGAAGAAATTGAGGAGGGAAGAACAGGCAAGAAAAAACAAGATACTGTGTTTTGACTGTGCTACCAGTAGAATATATGTTGCTAGCAACATCATGGCACTTCTGTTTTGAAACGAGTATTTTGCACAGTGATTAGAGCACTGCTGGAAATGTGCTATTGTGCCATCTGGTCTCTCCTATCCTAGTGACAAACTGTCCCTGTATTATCTCAAGGAACCTCCAGGGAACCAGTGACTCATGAGCCTTCACTGCAGCAATGGGCTTACTGAATCTGGCTATTTCTACCCATCCATCAATGCTGCTCTCCACAGAGAAGAGAGACAAGACTTATTGAGGCAATACTGTATTAAATTTGTTAGGTTCTTTTCCAGTATTCCCCTTGTGATGTATGCATGGACCTACTACTGTGGGGGGATCATTGGTTTAGGTTCTGTGGCCTGTCAGACACTGGCAGTACTTTACATGAAACCCTAAAGTAAAAGCTTTAACAAAGTTATACTCATAGGTGTGTTGCAGTGTCTGACAATATTGAATAATGGCTCTTCTGTGGATTCTCTGCTAACTTTTTGGTTAATCTGTTAATCCTTGACAAACTGTTACTATGGCTGTGAACCTCAGAAAAAAAGTTAGTTTATAACCATGTGCACGAGTCTGTTTCTTTGGGTTTGTGCTTGTGTTAGCTGGATTCAATTACTTTGTGTCAGTCTGGCATTCATATCTCCAACTTTGAGATCATTATTGAAGCTGAAGACATTTCCTTCTTTATACAATATGGATAGTGAAATGTTTCAAAATCTAGAAGTGTAACAAATTTTTCATTCTACATGTGCTTATTTCTTCCTCTTTGGAAAGATTCAAGAACAATACAATGTGTGTAATATCACATTGTCCATTCAGTCAGACTCCACTTTCATTTCCTTTAAGAGGCTGCTTACAGTCCTGATCCTGCCCTGCATGTGATTTTTGCATTGAATCCCTGCTGTACTGTAGTTTCCCCACTGTGACAGAATTTTTGGTGATGCAAAGCATCTTGAGATCAATAGATGAACAATATTATAAAATAGTTTTACTGTAATTTTTTATTTTTTAACATCAGCATGGGTAAAATACTGATGTTAGATATAGCATAGCTACTGCTTGTCTGTCTTAAAAGTGTTTCCTCAAAATTTAAGAAATATCTGTGTATCAGTAATGGTTTAACTCCAGCCAGAAACAAAGTACCTTGCAGCTGCTTGTTCAGTCCTGCATCAACAGAATCAGAGACAGAACTGAAAGAGCAAGAGCTAGAAAACTCATTGACTGGGATACAGACAGTTTAACAAGAAAAGCAAAAGCCATCCACACAAGCAAAGCAAACCAAGAAATTATTTTGTTTCTTCCTAGGTAGGCAGGTAGTTCAGCCACTTCCAAAAGAACAGGGCCCCATCATGCATAATGGTGACTTGGGAAGACAAATGCCATACCTTCAAACATCCCCTCCTTCCTTCTTCTTCCCCCTACTTTACACACCGAGTATGATGTCATGTGGTCTGAATACTCCTTGGGTCACTTGGAGCTGGGTCTCCTCTCAACTTCCCATTCATTCCCAACCTCCTTGCCCACTTGACACTGCAAAAAGGCTTTGGCTCTGTGTAAATCCTGCTCATCAATAACAAAAACGTCTCTATATTATAAACTGTTTTCAGCACAAATCTAAAACACAAACCTATACCAGACACTGTTAAGAAGAAAATTAACTCTACTCCAACTAAACCCAGCAGGGTATCTTACTAGGGAGATTGTTGGATTTAAGGAGCAGGTTATTCTCCTCATTTGTACATTGAACTTCATAAATTACACTCTTACAATACCACTCTTGATGCAACCCTGTCTATATGCTTTGCCTTCAGGACTAATTTGGTGCCTACTGACAGGAAAAAGATGTGTCCTTGTTTATGAGGCAGCTTTTCTAAAGTCAAGATTCTCTTAACCTTCTTGGTCTATATTCTTTTCTTGTTTTCCATTAGTAAATTTCATATTGCTTAGACATATTAATTCCAACTAAGTCCACTAAAGAGGAGACAAAGAAAAGCATGGGACAATTTCTTCAGAACCTGCCCAACCTTTCAAACATGGCTTATAAAAAAAGTGCTAAAAGAACAGGGCTGTACGGCAGAAAGGTGGGCTGGTGTTCTGTAGGAGAAGGTGAGTCCTTCGTGGCTCCACAGACTTTCTGCAAGAGTGTGGGAACTGAAGAGAAAATAGGAGGAAGAGGAATATGAAACTGAAAACTCTAATGAGCTCCATCTTTGACCCAAAAGCAGCCTAGAACTGAGTCATGAGTACTTTTTCTTTTCCACACCATACTGTTCAAGGAGTGAAATGTATTTCAATCCCCAAGGAATTACACAAAAATGATTGTATGGATGGAAAAGACCAGCATTTACTGATGCAATGTTGGAGAAGAGAAAGGGGAAAGAAAAAGAAAAAGAAAAAAAGGAAAGATTCCTGGACTCTCTGTGCCTTAAGAGTGATGCCTGATTCTTCTCTGGGTGCCACACCAAATTTCATCTTGCAGTCTTACAGCACAGGAACTTTCCTTTGATCACACAGAGGTTGCTTCTACCTCACTTTGAGAGTTTATCTATCGTCTCCTTCCCTCAGGAGGGGAAGAAGCACCTGCAGACAGTGAGGAGGACATAGTGTTAGCAGTTGGCATATAGGTTTAGATTACTCAACATCTGCTGTAGAGGGAATTTGGGCTCCATATGCAATTGGCTTCCAGGGCTGGAAGCTGCACAGATGTAATTCTGTTTGACTCATTTCATTGTTTTTTTTAAATAAATTGTCATTCTCAGAAAGACAGTCACTTAACCCCAGAGTGTTCAGGGAAATTTTTATGGTGATGGAAAAATACCCCAAAAAACCCCCAGCAGTAAATCCAAAGCCAAATATTATAAAAAGCAAATAAAGAAAACACCCCAACCCCCCAACTTAACATACAAAGGAAAAGCAAGATTATGATATCACAAAAACTATTGTGAGATACTCAAAGAGTATTGTACTCAAAATTCTTTAAATTTTTTCTTCTTCATTTCAGTGTGCTTGATTTTTGACTGTATGGTGTTCCTTTGATTTGAAATATTTCATTATGTTCTCCTCAACTCAGCTATGTCTCTCCTTTCTGTTTCCAAAGATATGAAATCATGAATTTTAAACAAATGGGGAAGGACTACTTTGATTATATCAATGTTGGCAGCTGGGACAATGGTGAGCTGAAAATGGACGATGATGAAATATGGTCAGAGAAAAGTAATATCATCAGATCTGTGTGCAGTGAACCCTGTGAAAAAGGCCAGATAAAGGTAAATATTTTCTTCTTTTTCTTCAGTCTTGCAGTATGCACAGCCTTGAAATTTGAAAGCAAGTTTTTTCTTTACTTCTACATGGAGATAGTATCCCACACTTAAATTAAAATGTACAGATTTATGTATTTAGTTCTTATTCTTATCATAATCATCTCACTATTTTAATAAGCTGCCATTTTCTTGACTCCTATATCTGTGGACTGCTGAATTTTATTTTTTTTTTTAGTTTATATTTTGAATGCTTTCAAAGAGGTATTGTTTGAAGGCTTTTTGCTGCATATTTTTAGAGCATCTGATTCAGTGGAGTGCAAATCCCTGACTAGGACTTGTCAGTACAATTAATTACTTGCAGGTAAATTAAAAATAATAATTGCTACTATTTCAATGCTAGACGTAGTCACCCAGACTGGAACATTATTAATCAGACCTTAAGTCTGCGGTATCATCAGAGAACATCAACTACTATCACTACTTCAAACTTCAGGAAATGTAGGTTACATATTTTTTAATCATACTTGTTTTACTGCTTCTTTGTTTCCCAGGTTTTTTATTTTTTCTTCCTCCCTTTCCATGCTGGAGCAAGGAGTGTAGATGAGTCTGTCATATATTAATTATATACTATTTTCCTTTAGCATCTCATGATGCCTCCTGCAGAACAGTTAAAATACTGCAAGTCTGTAGCTTACCTTGCAGTCATTTATATAAAAGCCATTGGAACGAGGAGATGGGCATGTTTAACCATAAAAAAAATCAGGTGTGATTTCTGACAAGTCTCACTGGAAGCTCAATTTTCTCATGTGTTTAAACAGCATGACTGAAAATTGGGAAGCAGCTGCAGAGAGGGGCTGGGGGAAGGATGACCAGTCTCTGCAACACAAAATGAATTTTTTTTAGTCTTAGTTTTACAGAGTTTTAGGACACGGTCACCTGGTTTGATTCACTAATTAGTCTTTGGCAGAGTCATTTAAGTGAGTTTCATCAGACCAATTGTATTTGTCTCCAGTGTAAACATAAGGAATCATGTCAGACTTATGAATAACATGCTGTTCCAGATGAGGAGTCATCTCATCCTTGTGTAGGCTTTGAAAATAGCTGAGATCAAGCTTGGTGTAGAACGACTTCTTTCTCTTCATTGGCAGTAAAAGACACCCAGACAGGACGGCTGGTTCTGATGAGAACACACCTGCTGCAGGTGTGTTCTCACACATAAATGCACATAAATGCAGGTGGAACGAGTTGCTCCCACAGTCACTAAACTTGAGTCTGTTAGCCTGCTCCAGGCACAGACACACACGGGGAGGACAGAGGTGGACAAACAACTAACATCTTCAGAACTGCGTTGCTCTGAGTTCCTTCATGATCTGTTGTCACAACACAGCTGAAGGGAAGTATCTTATGGCCTTCACTAGCACAATCACCTTCCACCTTCTGCCCATGATCCCAAGGATACTCTCAAGAGGTTCCTTCACTATGAAGCCAAGTCATCATACACTTAAATATATGCTTGAAGCCCAGTGTTTGAAATATTCTGTTTGCACCTCATTTTGTTATGGGTCATAAATCAATCTCAAGAGTTTACCTGAGTTTTTATCTTCATGGTCTTCACAGATGATGGTGGGGCCTTGACCCTACCAAGCTCTGTGGTGATTTTCCTGCAAATTTCTGTGTGACTGAGTTATTATGGAGGAATTTAAAACATTGAATGTAATGCTATCCAACATTCAGCTAGAGTTGGTGAATCCATCCACAGGATTTTATAAAACCCAAATACAACCGAACTCTATAAATTTGAAATAGTGTGGCCATATGATTATCTAAATAAATATGGGTTCAAAGGATTGTACAGATGACAAGGGGAAAGCAAAACAGTATTTGTTTGAAAGAGAATTTTTTCTCTTAAAAAGGACAGAAGAATTAATTTATAGTTAAGTGATACAACAAAGAATTATGCAGGAAATAAAAAATAAAAGGATGAAAAATTGCTGGATAAGAAACTTAACACAAAAAAAGACTTTACTCTGAGTCTTGAAGAACAATTATCTCGATTTCTAGAGGAGGTTACAAAATGCTTCTCTGGTAAGAAAAGTTCTAGGCAAGAAATTATCAGTGTACCAGTGTCCTGATTGATTTGTCAAATTCCAAGTATTTTACAGAAGATCTTCATTGACCAGAAAGTTGCACAGAAAAGGGTAAATTAATTGTTCATATAGAAATTTTAGGTGTTTTGATAATAGCATAAGGTTTTTATTTTTCCATTTAATTTTTTTGACTATTATATAAAAATAAAATTTTTGACTATATGAATGTGTGTTTATGCTGCTAAAACAAAATGTCAATTTTTGTCTCAGGTGATCCGTAAAGGAGAAGTGAGTTGCTGTTGGACCTGCACTCCTTGTAAAGAAAATGAATATGTTTCTGATGAATACACATGCAAAGCCTGCCAGCTTGGCTCTTGGCCCAACGAGGAGCTCACAGGTAAATGAGATAAGGTTGTGCTTGTGTTGTCAATGAAAGTGCTCATCTAATGAGCTGAAGAAACAAATGGCAGATACAGGTGAGTGTGAGGATGGTTTTGGTCAAAGGGAACATGGGGATAAAGGTAAAATTTGGACTGAAGCTGATCTTTATCTCCTGAACCTGATCCAGGAATTATTCTCATAGTTCAACTCCTTTCTTAAGATCTGAATTACTAGATTTTGAAATAATAAAAAAAAAGTCATGGTTTTGTATTCAGTCCTGTCCTAACCTCTAGCTGGTAATATAGATTTTACCCTTCCCAAAATAGATACAAAAATAACTGCTTATCAGATAAATTATTAAGGAAGGTCAAATTTAAGAGTTTTGTTATCCCCCCAAGCAGAAGAATAATGCACTATCTTCTTTTTTAATCTGACAAAGTTCTGATTTAGTTGCTGTAGTTCCTGCAGCTAATAGCTTGAGTTCTCCAAAGAGACTTTGGTTTACATTATTCCTTTGTTCATCAGAGTCTTCTGGAGCACAGTGTTCACCCTTACCTTGGCATAGACCTCTATGCTCTTGCAGAATACCAGTTAGGCTTCTCTGGAGATAAATTACTCCCGCATTGTATCCTGCAACCTCTCTTCTTTATGAGTAAGAAGCAGAATTGAGTATTCAATTATTCAGGGCACAAACCACTTCAAAACACTGTTCTCACTGTGTCAGGCTCTGTATAGACAAGGAGAGAAAGGTTTGCTTTGGGTTTTTTTTTTTTCTAGAAGTCACAGACCAGATTTGCATATAGTTTCTATGGATGAGGGGAAAAACTTTGAGGTGTGAGGGAAGACAAAGAAAAATGCAGTTTGTTGCATGAATTTATGTAAGTGGGAGAGCATAAGGCAAGGTTTGGCCTCTAGGTAGGTTTTATTTACTGTTTTTACAGATTTTATTTTACGGATTTTATCTGCTGTATTTCCTGTATTATTTACTGTATTTTATTTTACAAATTTTATTTACTATATTTCCTGTTTAAGGACTGTTGCATTGCTGTGATAAAGGAACTTGTCTACCAAATTATTGCAAGAATATTATTTAACCATTGAACTGATGGGATGCTTTTCAGAAAATGTCAAACATGACACTTTCCCCAAGAAAAACACCTTCCAACTGAGAAAACTGGGCTAGCAGTAAAATGGACTTTCAAGTTCCGCTGCATCTATACTCCCATAGCCCTGCTCCCCCAGTTCTGCCTCCCTGGGAAACCAGCAACCAACCAGCAAAGCCTTCTTCTCTCAGGGAAAGATTTCTTGTGCCGGGAGAATGGAGAAGGAGAGAAAAAGAGAACAGGCTGTGTGTCCCCAAAACAGAGTATTGAGGGTGTAGTTACCATGTGAGGTACACTTCTCAGAAGTTTGCAAAGGCCACACTGCAGGGACCAGCTTACTGCACCAGGCTGGTCAGTTCATGAAGGTCAACTAGTGCAACTGGTCAGCTCCCCAGCCTCCAGGGATTTTGCCCGAGATATTGTAGATCCCAGCTCATGCCCCTGTTTAGGTGAGCACCCAGGTTTTACCCAGCATAGATCAGCTAAAAAAGGAGCTGCAACAAGTCAGTTAGGAGGGCATTTATCCCAAGTGCCTCCAAAGAAGACAGAGAACCAGTGGTGGGAAGGAACTGTCCACTGCCTTGGTGAAGTTTGTGTAATTAGACACTAAGCACCATTTGTAAGGCAAAGTGGAGTGATCAGGCCCCAGGCCGACCCTCAGGCTCTGTGCTTTGAGCTGGCTCTCTAGGACATACAAATTTCCATGGTTCAAGCATGGTTCACCATGTTCCACATTCAATGACATGGTGTTGTGGTCTCCTGGGAGGATGCACCCTCTGAAAGTCTAACTTTGCCCTCAGAATGGAAAAGTGGGATGGGTTGGCCTGCCAAAACTTTCATAGGTTGAGAAAATGGTTTTCCACCTATCAGTGATTGTTTTTAAGGAAATCAGTTGTATTTTTGCTCAAGCCAACAGATTTGTGCATTACATGAGCAAACATTTTGTGTTTGTTTACAAAATCACATTTTGCAAACCATTTGTCTGGCATCAGACATGTATTTTATGCCTTTATGGGGACCAAAATCGATCTGTACACAAAAGAGCCCTTGACATCAGTGCCAAGCAACATTCCTCAGGAGATCTAACAGTTGTTCCTCAGCCAGGCACAAATTTGGCAGGCCCTATCTGGAAGCCAAACACCTCCCCCCCAAACACCACCTCTTTGGTCTTCATGAGAACAGCTGGTGGAATGTGCCCTCCTAGTAATAAATAGGACACCCATCTCACGACTTCAGAGCTGCCTAGTCCCCACCCAGCTCATTATCAGCATGATGGCTGGATCTTGTCTTATATAACTTTGTATCACAAAGAGATTTTAAGAAATCTATTCCCAGCTTATCCATACAAAATAATGAGCTGTGTTTTTAATGACCGTATTCCTAGTGCCAACTCTTGTGCTTATAAAAAAACTGCCTCTCAATCTTGTTTAAAACATAGGATTTAGTAATAAATGTGCATTAAAAGTTAAGAGAGGTTGGTGTATTTTGTATTCTGGCAAGGAAATTTCCTTTCTGTTTATTAAAGCATACAGCAATCTCCTTGAAATGTCCCTACATCTGATACTGCAGCATACTAAGTCTCTTTGCTGCTTGATAAAGCCATTTCCTAGGGAATGTCAGCTCCACAAGGCTACACATACAAAACCTCATTAGAATAAGTCTTCCCTGCATGATTACTTTCAGATGAGTCCTGTAAGTTTATCAGCCATGCACCTGAAATGGCTTTCAACATGGAGCTGCACCTCACTGTTTGCCAGAGATCTGACCTTGGATAAAAACTTACTTGGAATCCTTTCTTGGCTCACATAACAAAACATTACTTACATCTTTCTTATGCTCAATGATCAGCATCAGTTTTGTGCCATGAAGTTCACTAAATAAAACATGTAATGGCAGGGATGTTACTGACAGAAAGGGAGACAGATTAATGCACTTTTTCAGCCGCCTATGGAATATCAAAAGTCAGATGCAGCAGGGGGAAGACAGAAGGGATGCAATATGTGTAGGAAAACAAAGTTATTCTCAGAACAGAAAAAGACGTTGAAGTGCTGAAGTACAGAAAAGCACAGATAATCCAAAGGTAGTGGAAAAGGTAAGTGGGATCAAGAGTTTCTCTTGATTAAATCAGTTACTGGAAAATGTCTCCACCTAGAAGTGAAAATGAGACAAGAAAGAGAATGTTAACTGCCCACATTTTATTTTGTCACAAATTTCAGATTGCTTTTGCATGCAAAATTCCCCAGGGATCAGGCTCCTCCTTGGCCAGAAACCTAGTAAGTTCCTTCCTTCTCTCAAGATTTATATGTACTATCCCAACATGTACCAGAAGTAATTTATGCTTCCCAATCTGCTGTAGCCCCTCTAAGTCCCCATGTGTTGCGTTGGCAACATCCATAAAACACACCACCAGTTTACACATTAATGTGGCCAATGTGGCTGAGACACAGACTCAGCTACAGCAGGAGGAACTCAGTGGTTTAAGTCCAGAAGTAGATGCCAGTCACTCCTCTCTTCCTCAAAGCTCTTCTTTTTGTTATATTCACAGCAGGTGGAAAAGAAATAGATGCCACACAAGTTTAGATACAGGTGAAGGGATTTTCTTAGTGCTGATGACCAACACTGATGCTGACTTTTCAAAAGCTTTGGGAGAATCTGAGGATGTGAGCTTCTGCATTTAAAAATGGTGCTCTAGAAAGACCAAATAAATTTTGTTCAATGTCTCAGAGCTTTTTCAGTATATGTAGGAGCATCTTGGCTCAGTTACCAATAACATTTAAGGACCTTTTGGAGTGAGAAAGAAGCAATTATTCTGTCTTTCTGACATTCAAAGACAGCATACAACAATACCAAAACCAAAGTTTTGTCTAGTCACCTCAGGAATGGCAAGAAAATTAGATTATATTAATTTCAGTGACAATTGGATTATTTTCAGGTTGTATTGACATTTTTCACAGTCTCTGTGTATTCCAAATATGCTGACTATTTGATTTTCTTAATTGGATTCCCATGAAAATAGGAGCTTAACTATTTACACCTCTTGAAATGTTTTCTTTGCCATTCAAGGGTGAGAGTATATATCAGAAATACGTATTTTTTTCTATAGCTACAAAAATGCTTTCACCAAATAAAGTACAGTAAAGCCAGGATAACAGTGTGATTTTGCTGCCCATCTGGAAGTGATAGATAAGAGATGGATTATCCAAAAAACCATTGGATGGAAAGGATTGAAAAATGTGTGTGGCAGGGTCTGAGCCTCAGTTGTCCCCTAAGACTGGATTCTGCCCCTCACTCAGGCAAAAGGTGATTAATCTCTTGCCCGAAATATTCTCAAAGGGTATCTGCTTGCTCCCATCAGGCTGCTTTCTTGTATTCCCTCTTGCAAAAATGTTGCAGGCATGGGTGATTTCAGCAATTATCTGACGCGGGTCAGAACACAATCTAGTCTGTGCTGACATTGATTTTTCTGCTGAAACATTACTAGGATCTTGCTTTATGATCATAATTGTTAAGGCTATAATTGAGACTGAGGGTAAGAGAACACAATTTTCATCTGGTTATTTCTAGTGTTAAAAATGCACATCAGCAGAAATAATGTCCTGTTTTCTGTGCCCCTTATTTCTCCTTCCTTTTTATTTCTTACTCTGAAGGAAATGTAATCATTGCTATAAGTCACTTTCACTCTATTCCTCTTGAAAAAGGTATATGTGGATGAGTTAAGGGTCCAGAGGGCAATATTATGACCAGGATCTCATTTTCTGCTCCCTTGGTTCTCGGTTTGCACACTTTTCTTCCCTCAACTGCTTGTTCCAGATAGGGTGTGAACTTCAGCTTCCAGTCCAGTGTGAGCCACACAGCACTTCAGGCTCGAGTGAGCTCATTCAATATTGCTGAGCTCAACAAGCAGCTCTTGCAG